TATGTTTGTTAGTAGAGTATAATTTATTGGAGTTGGTATATTGTTAGTATATTGTATGTGAGTTTCTTGAAGTGTAATGATATGCGGAGAGTATTTTTTAATCAGGATAAGGAGATTATTGTAGTTATTTGTATATCCTTGAATGTTCCATTGAATTAAGATTAGTGGCATACTGGTAGTGTAAAAAGTTCTAGGGTTGAACCTTAAAGTATAGGAGATCAGTGGCTTTTAAACCGATTCGCTGTTAGTGGAATGTTTGTTTTTGTTAGAGGATTTTGCTTTTGATTTAGGTGGTTTGAAGTTAGTACACAGAGGGTTTGACTTATCTTTAGGGAAAATTTTTAGTTTAAGGTCCTTTGTGAGTTGAGATCCGTATAAGGTTGTTATTCTGGTGGGGTTCATGTTGTCTGTTTCCATGGCTTCGGTGTCGTCCTGGTCGTGTTGGTTGTGTTTTTGGAGGGACATAGTTGCGTACGCGAACAGTTTCATAGCCGACTCGGAGTATTTCAGGGAGTTGATGGGTTTCGAATGTAATTATTATGAGTCCGGTTTCTATTAGGTTGTTGTTGTTGTTTGGGTTGTTGTTGTTGTTAGTGTTTTTGTTGTTACTGGTAGTTGTTGGTGTTGGTGTTATTGTTGGTGTTTTGTCTCTTCATTATTTTTTTGACTTCAATTACTTTCTGTGGTTTTAGTTCTCGGAGGATTGTTTCTTCGTCTATGTATCTAAGGTCATTACAGTAGATAACGCCTTTTGAAAAATAAAGTGTCTTGTGTTCGGTAGCTGTTATATCCATATCTGCGATTTCGGTAAGTTTTAGGAGTTTTGTGGCTTGGGTGTTGTTTTTTGTTGTTATCAAAAGTCCGCCGTCTCTGGTTTTTTTCACAGAATCAACTCTTCTTCCGCAGGCGAAATCCACAAATTTCTCGATGATGAAAGGTTAAACAGTTTTAAATGAGGATTCATTTTTGCTTTTGATGACAATAAATTTGGGTTCTCCTAGTTGGTACGGTCTCGTAGTGTATTTAGCTATGTCTGGCGGTTCGTGCATGTTTGTTTGTAAAGGGCTTGCGCCCGAGTGGTATGAAATTGTGTGTTTTTTGTTGTTGTCTTTTTAGTTTTGTTTTGTGTTTAATATTTGTTTTTCAACTTTTGCTGATAAGCTCAATGGGTTTTTTGCGAACGCGGGATCGATAGTGTTCTAATACGACTTGTCTCTTCGGAGGTTGAAGTGGTACTGACATTTTTGAACTTGATTTTGGAGGAATGTTAGAAAGAGATAGATTCGATATCTACAGAAATCAAACTTTATTATCTCTAAATAACGATAAAAATGTAAATACGATAGATTATAAAAGTACCTAATGTAAATATGGATTTAAGTGATGAGTGATGAGTTAAAGCTAAAAGAAGTATTGGCCAAATATTCAAAATTTCTCATTGATGGTATTCTAAGTAGATGTGTTACTACAGGTTCTTTAGAAATCCGATTAGTAGACGTAAACAAAACGGTTTAGAGATGACCATATCGTCTTAGCGAGAGCGAGAAAGATATAGTTAGAGAAAAGATTAAGCGGATGCTAGAATCTAACGTAATTCGACCAATCATCTCCCCCTTCTCTACTCCAATGTTACTAGTAAAAAAAAAGGCGGTAGTGATAGACTATGCATAGATTATCGAGAACTCAACGCCCCTTGCCATTAATATCAGACCAAAAAGAACGCCAAAAAAAAGAAAGATCAAAAGAAGGCGGTAAATATTTCTCCAGCCTAGACATGGCCAGTGCTTTCTATCAGGTGCCCATTCACCCCGAATCGGTTGAGCGAACTGCATTCGTGAGCCCAGAGGGTCAATATGAATTTTTAGCCATGCCCTTCGGCCTTAAAAACACTTTGTCCGTCTTTGTCTAGTTTGAGCTTTAGGGGACTTGGTTAATAGATACGCAGTAGTCTAAATTGATGACGTATTAATGGTTTCTAATACTATAGAGGAAGAACTTGACAGATTGGAAACAATGATTAGCGTATTATCAAAGTCAGGATAGTATTAGTATTAAAAAGTGTCAATTCCTGCAAACGAAGATAGAGTAATTAGGTTTTCTTATAAGAGATGGCGAGCTAAAACCCAATCTTCGAAAAGTACGAGCACTGACCTAGTTTATAGGCTTAGCATCTTACTTTAGGAAATTTGTCCCTCATTTCTCAGAAGTGATGAAGCCTATTTATCTGTTAACTTCAAAACGAATTTGACTGGTAAGAAAAGCAAAAGGAAATTCGCCAAAAAAATTATGAAGCATACGAAGGATTAAGCGTACGAATGCAAGCGCCAATGGGTATAGCGCTATGCTATTACACAAGGTAGATGATCAACGCCGTGTAGTTGAGTACTACAGTAAATGCACCACAATATCCGAATCAAAATATAATTCGTATGAACTCAAGACATTGGCGGTGTACAACGCTATCAGACATTTCCAATATTATTAAAGCAGCAATAAGTTTAAAGCATATACGGATTGTAATTCTGTTAGAGCAAGTCAAGAAAAAGTGGTATCGACAACGCGGGTTCATCGTTGGTGGTCATTTTTGCAGTCATTCGAATTCCAGGTAGAATACAAGAAAGGGAGCAAATGGCTCATGTTGACTGATTGTCTAGAAATCCCTAGATCCTGTCTAGATTGTCTAGTAGCGCAGGAAAGTTCGAGTGAGGTAGTAAAGGTACCAGTTAACTTGCCAACTATAACCCATAACTGGCTTATATCCGAACAGAAGCGTAATCAATACATATCGCAAAACATGACCGATTTAAAAAGTGATGAAATGCAGAAAGAAATAGCAAATTCTTATAAATCAGGAAAAATCAAAGAAATGGGAAGACACAATGCTTGCCAGTCGTGCCCAGGGCATTTAGGTGGTCAGTTGCTAATCATGTTCACGAGGAAATAATGCACTTGGGGTGGCAAAACACCCTACATAAGATTTACGAGCAATATTGGTTTGATGGAATGCCAAAATATATACGAAAATTTGGAGAAAATTGTGTGTCATGTAAATTGTCAAAATCAGCGATAGATAAAATACAATCGGAGTTACATCCCATTCCCAAGGTTCTCTACCTTGGCATACCATGGCATACGGTACATATAGACATTAGTAGGAAATTGAGCGGTAAAAAGGACGAGAAGGAATATGTCATCGTTCAAATAGATGCCTTCACCAAGTTTGTCTACCTATACCACACCTGGAACTTGGACACGGTAAACTGCATACAGTCAGTAAAGTCTGCATTATCAAAATTTTATATTTACAAGTAGCGAGTAACTAACCATAGTGCCTTAGAGTTGATGATTGGCAAAGAAGCGATGCCCTTGGGAATGCTAGAAAGGAAATCTAAGGAAAGTATGAGTAAGAATGCTAAGTATGATAAGGCAAGAGTAGGTAAAAACCATGCTTAGGTAGTAAGGCATGAAATTGGTGATCATGTTTTATTGAAAAACGAAGAGCGGCATTAAACGAAGTTGAATCCACAATTTAAGGGACCATTTGAAATTGTGCAATTGCTAAATGGTTACCGATACTTGTTAAAATCATTATTTCGCTTGTTAAAATCATTGACAACTAGAGGAGTGTATAAATATCCACATGATAGTGTACGTAGTGTACCTAAAGATCGAGAGACTTTTGAATTAGCGGAAGAGCTTGACAACGGTAAGCAAGAGATCTGTGACTTAAGAGGGGTGCAGAGGAGAGATTTTATGCAGAAGAGAGCGTAGTACTCTGATTTTTACATATAAATCACAAATGAGAAGCCTGTTGAAATAATGTTTCGATGATAAGTGAATTGGTAGCCAGATGATTGAGCTACTGCACAAGAAGTGCAATTGAATTTGTCTTAAAGAATAAATAAGCTTTGTAATCATAAGAGCAATATAAGTAATATAGGAGAGGATAAGTTTCACTTTCAGTACATTTTCATTTTTCAGTACATAGTTTAATAAGAAATAAATGGGTAGCAAGTCTGAAAAGTTAGAAAAAAAAAATTGTGTGCGCTGGCTTTGAAACGAAATCGCACGCACACATCCACCCGTGAATTTGAATCTGTGCCACGCATACATACAAAGATGAATCGAAACGCAGACTATCCTTCTTCATGGTGCTCCTTTCAGATACTGAACAACAGAAAAAATTCTATGAGAATATGAGAGTAAGATGAACCAAATTTGAGCGTAAGAAAGAGAGTAAGATCTATTTCTGCGGCCAGCTGGGGCCTGTCGCAAGAAATTTTTTCTATGTGGTCTATATGGTGTATGGTTAGTGCTCTAACTCATTTAATTCGGGTTTCATCCCCCGAATGTTGTGCGAGTGGCACCAACAGAGTCACTCATTCATTTAATTTTGTTTCGGCATTCTATATCACTCAATTCATTTTCAAGGTTGTGTATTTGAATGTCGTTTTTTAGCAATTCATGCAGACCTCTAAAATCAACTTGCGCTTCGCAAAAAATTAAGTTTTTTTTCGTGTTATTTGTACAAATAAAGCAGTTTTTGTTTGGCAAAGTAGAAACCTTTTATTACTATAACTTGTCTTTATAAAACCGATTGTGCGTTTATTTTTGATAAAAAATGTTGATGATTTTGTTATTTTTATTAAAAGCGGAATAACTTATAAAAATAATACCTTACCTTTTTTTTAAACTGGATTGATATATTACCCCTGCATCGGAGTTTCTTGATGGTTTTCTTAAAATCGGAATCGAGGTACATTCGGATCCATCCTGGGATATTAGTAAACTACCTTTTGTTTTTTGTATAATTGCCGGGTTTAAACACTCTGCATCTAGTACTTCATCATTCATTGATTGCGATTTAATATTGTATCCAAGCCAATTAATACATTCAAGATCATGTTGGTGTTCATCAACTGGCTGTCGAATGTAAAAATTACATAGGGAATTGTTTTTTTTAATTTTGTTCTGAAAGGCCGATTTTGTAATTTTCTCCCTTTGCTGACTTGTCCCTGGACTATTTTTTATTAAAACAGTATTAAGATCATACTTGTCTAATATAACATCTCCATCTTCTTTAGCTTCTAATTCATTGTTCAATATTATTTGTTTGAGGTTTGAGACTACTTCAGAATCATTTGTTGGCGAACTAGATATTACGTATGCTGTAGACTACAAAAATTTAAGTTCGGTTGTTTTAATTTTTTTCTCTGTTTTGACTACTTACTTGATTTTTGTCCATGGTTTTTGATATGCTCAAATTTTTATTTGAAATAGAAAATCTGTTATCAGTATCCATATCAGTGAGTTCTGTACCACTTTCGAAAATCATATTTGTGATGTAACATGTAAAATTTTCTTGTAATGAAATAGTTTCATACCTTTTCTAACATATTTTGTGGAACGTCAATTTTTTTGCGGAGGATTAACGTTTTTTAAATATTTCTCTACCCGCATATAAAAATAAATTTTTGCCATTGTTCTGAAAAGATTTACAATTTACGAAAAACAATTACGATACATTTCGGCAACAGTGAAAAAATTGTGCAATAAATTTTTGTATACGTTGGCAAAGGATATTATAATTTTGGTCAAAGTATTCAATGCAGTGTAAATATCTACACAGTGGTCGATTTGATAAAATGGTGGGTACTATATACAAAATTAAAAGTTCAAACTTTTATTTTTCTTTCTTTGTTTTTTTCTTTTCTTTGTTCTTAGTTCTTTGTTTTTTTATACCCTTGAGGATCAAAAGTGTTATAATTTTTCTCAAAAGTGTGAAACGTAATGAAGGAGACATCTCCGACCCTATAAGGTATATATATTCTTAATCAAGATTACCTCCTGAGTTGATATGAGCATGCCCGTCTGTCTGTTTCTACTTAAAATAGTCTTTCAGTTTTAAAGCCATTGACATAAAACTTTACACGCACGCTTCTTTCCTTTGCACGCAGTATATAAGTCGGATCGACCGCGATCGGACGACTATATCCTATAGCTGCCATATAACTTATTTATCGGAAGTGGTATATCTTTGGTGTAGTTTTGGTGTTTTTAGAGTTAGAGAGTTCCAATTTTACATGAAAGCTGTCTTTGGCAAAATAATACGACATGACAAAATTTAAGTTTTTAAAGTAAGAGAGTTCACATTTTACATAAGAGCTATTTTTGGCAAAATAATAAGACATGCCAAATTTCACAAGGCATTTTTATACCCTTGCAGAGGGTATTATAATTTTGTCCAAATGTGTGCAACGCAGTGAAGGAGACATCTCCGACCCTATAAAGTATATATATTCTTGATCGGGATCACATCCTGAGTTGATAAGAGCATGTCCGTCTGTCCGTCTGTCTGTTTCTACGCAAACTTGACTCTCAGTTTTAAAGCTATCGACTTGAAACTTTGCACACACTCTTCTTTCCTTTGCACGCAGTATATAAGTCGGAACGGTCGGAATTGGCCGACTATATCCTATAGCTGCAATATAACTGATTGATCGGAAATGCTATAACTTTAGTGTTTTTAGAGTAAGAAAGTTTAAATTTGACACGAGAGCTATTTTTGGCAAAATAATACGACACCCTAAATTTCATAAGGATCGGCCGACTATATCTTTTAGCTGCCATATAACTGAACAATCGGAAATGACCCAACTTTCGTGTTTTTGAAGATAGAAAGCTGGAACTCAGTACAGAGTATATTTTTGGTCAGTTGATCCAACCTACCAAATTTCATTAGGATCGGCAGACTATACCCTATAGCTGCCATACAACTGAACTATCAGAAATAACACAACTTTCGTGTTTTTGAAGATAGAAAGCTGGAACTTAGTACAGAGTATATTTTTGGTCAGTTGATACAACCTACCAAATTTCATTAGGATCGGCAGACTATACTCTATAGCTGCCATATAACTGATTGATCGGAAATGGTTTAACTTTGGTGTTTTTAGAGTTTGAGAGTTTAAATTTTACATGAGAGCTATTTTTGGCAAACCATTACGACATGCCAAATTTCATAAGGATCGGCCGACTATATCTTATAGCTGCCATATAACTGAACGATCGGAAATGACCCAACTTTCGTGTTTTTGAAGATAGAAAGCTTAGTAAAGAAACTTAGTACAGATTCTATTTTTGGTCAGTTGATCCAAACTACTAAATTTCATTAGGATCGGCCTACTATATCCTATAGCAGCCATATAACTGAACGATCGGAAATGGTATTTGGTAGAAATATCAACTTTGGTATTTTTGAAGATAGAAGTTTGGGACTTTTTTAGTTTTTATATTTTAGTTACTTAGTTTTATTATGATGTAATCATAAGGATCGGCCAACTATATCCGATGATTGCGATATATATCTGGTTTTAACTGCAAGGGTATATAAACTTCGCCTCCGCCCGAAGTTAGCTTTCCTTTCTTGTTTTTAACTTATTTATCGCAGATAATATTTAAAATGTTTTTGGAATTTTTTCAATCGCAGGTCACGAAGATGTAATCAAGTGACAGCCAACAGCCAAGTCGATATAGCCATTTCTGTCTGTCTGTCCGTCAGTCCGTCTGTCCGTATGAACGAACCACGCGTTCAGTCAGAGACTATAAGAGATAGTGCTATAGGATTTAGCATGGAGACTTAGCATGGATTCCGGCAGAAAACGCCCACGGAAATCCGATTTTTGACACGACCCCATCCGCCACAATGAATTGAATAATTTTCTGTACCGCCAGTACAGGGAGGTAGTTTGAAAAATTTTTTTATAGATAATTTATATTTGAAATTCAATGGAATTGGTTATAAATAGCTGACCTCTGACCTAACATGAGTTTAATTTTCCTTTATACTGTGATTCGGTCATTCTTTTTTGTTTATTCTGTATTTTGCTACATGATGATTAATTTTTCCGAAAAATCGGAAATACAAGGTTTATGGGAAGGGTGGTACTATCGTAGTCGGGATACCGAGTCTTTTTTAAATCGTTTGATTAAAAATGCAAAAAATTATTAATAATAATTATATAAAATAAATTAATTTTTATGAGCAAATTTGTAAATTTTAAAGTAGTGTTACAAACAATCTAATAAACAATCTAGTAAATAAATAATCTAATATCGTGCTACTTGGTACTTGAAGTTTCATGGGGCTAGATAAGAGCCCCGAAAGAAAGGTTGCTCCTTGCCCAGTATTGACATCTTTTGTAGCAGCTTTTTAGAACCATATGACAAATATACCACGAGGTGTGGCTATGAATTTCGTAGACCATGTATTTAGACCCAAGAGTGATCGGCTAATCCCCGTGCCGAGACGTGATGAACTAGGACGATCCCCCTGCCGAGACGTGGAGTGTCCGGCAGATCCCCTGCCGAGACATAGAGTGTCCGGCAGATCCTTCTGCCGAGATGTGAAGTACCAGACCGATCCCTTTGCCGAGACGTGGAGTGTCCGGCAGATCCTCCTGCCGAGACGTGAAGAGCCTGGCCGATCCCCCTGCCGAGACGTGGAGAACCTGGCTCATCCCCGGCCGATTCCCCTACTGAAACTTGGATTGCCTGGCTGATTCCCCTGCCGAGACCTGAAGTACCAGGCCGATCCCCCTGCCGAGACGTAGAGTGCCCGGCAGATCCTCCTGCCAAGAAGTGTAGTACCTGCAAATATCGGGACCGTGAAATACGGCGTTTCCTTGGTGTTGCGGAGGCGCGACAGTAGCGGCCAACTCCCGATCCGGACTCGCCAGCCCATATACGCGGTGTTTCCTTAGTGTAGCGGAGGCGCGACGCCCAGTCTTTGACCTGTCCCAGATCCTGTAGTCCGACGTGCCGTACTGGGTGAAGATCAGTCGCAGACGACCCAAGGGTGTGTTCAAATAGGTTCCAATCTATATCCAATGTTCCAATCTATAGGTTCCAGTAGATTCTTTCTCTTGTGTGCAGCCATCGAGAGGGCGACATATCCAACGGCAACGCAGCAGAGGAACAGCAGCGGCGACGGAGCAGAAGCAGCGACCGTAGCAACTGGAACGGCGAACAGGAAGCGCCGACGACGAACCGAGCAGAAACCAGGAGGAGCATCAAGGGTCCGGGGCGGAGCCCATTTTCAAAACAAGAAGTAATTAATTGTATAAGTAATTCTATTCTATTCTATTCTTAATTCTATTTTTGGTCAGTTGATCCAAACTACTAAATTTCATTAGGATCGGCCTACTATATCCTATAGCAGCCATATAACTGAACGATCGGAAATGGTATTTGGTAGAAATATCAACTTTGGTATTTTTGAAGATAGAAGTTTGGGACTTTTTTTAGTTTTTATATTTTAGTTACTTAGTTTTATTATGATGTAATCATAAGGATCGGCCAACTATATCCGATGATTGCGATATATATCTGGTTTTAACTGCAAGGGTATATAAACTTCGCCTCCGCCCGAAGTTAGCTTTCCTTTCTTGTTTTTAACTTATTTATCGCAGATAATATTTAAAATGTTTTTGGAATTTTTTTCAATCGCAGGTCACGAAGATGTAATCAAGTGACAGCCAACAGCCAAGTCGATATAGCCATTTCTGTCTGTCTGTCCGTCAGTCCGTCTGTCCGTATGAACGAACCACGCGTTCAGTCAGAGACTATAAGAGATAGTGCTATAGGATTTAGCATGGAGACTTAGCATGGATTCCGGCAGAAAACGCCCACGGAAATCCGATTTTTGACACGACCCCATCCGCCACAATGAATTGAATAATTTTCTGTACCGCCAGTACAGGGAGGTAGTTTGAAAAATTTTTTTATAGATAATTTATATTTGAAATTCAATGGAATTGGTTATAAATAGCTGACCTCTGACCTAACATGAGTTTAATTTTCCTTTATACTGTGATTCGGTCATTCTTTTTTGTTTATTCTGTATTTTGCTACATGATGATTAATTTTTCCGAAAAATCGGAAATACAAGGTTTATGGGAAGGGTGGTACTATCGTAGTCGGGATACCGAGTCTTTTTTAAATCGTTTGATTAAAAATGCAAAAAATTATTAATAATAATTATATAAAATAAATTAATTTTTATGAGCAAATTTGTAAATTTTAAAGTAGTGTTACAAACAATCTAATAAACAATCTAGTAAATAAATAATCTAATATCGTGCTACTTGGTACTTGAAGTTTCATGGGGCTAGATAAGAGCCCCGAAAGAAAGGTTGCTCCTTGCCCAGTATTGACATCTTTTGTAGCAGCTTTTTAGAACCATATGACAAATATACCACGAGGTGTGGCTATGAATTTCGTAGACCATGTATTTAGACCCAAGAGTGATCGGCTAATCCCCGTGCCGAGACGTGATGAACTAGGACGATCCCCCTGCCGAGACGTGGAGTGTCCGGCAGATCCCCCTGCCGAGACATAGAGTGTCCGGCAGATCCTTCTGCCGAGATGTGAAGTACCAGACCGATCCCTTTGCCGAGACGTGGGTGTCCGGCAGATCCTCCTGCCGAGACGTGAAGAGCCTGGCCGATCCCCCTGCCGAGACGTGGAGAACCTGGCTCATCCCCGGCCGATTCCCCTACTGAAAC